TAGACAGAAGCAGTGTTATGAAGAGATTTGTAATGGATAACCAGAATTTTAAATTGGGCCCCATATATGTTACAGGACGCCAATGTGAGGTCTGACAGAGGAGGGAGGCATGGGAGCAGAGAAAGACGAGCCATGCCGTAGCATTTATTACAGGCTGTAATGCAGTGAGAAGTGACCCTTTTGTAAAAATGCTATAGAATAAAAGGCTTCATGAAAAATAACAATAGTATACATGTATAATCAGAGCATCAGATGTGGTAGCATAGTACATTCTAGAGAGGTGGTCCCAGTTAAATTAGACATCTGCTTACCTTATTCCGAGTACCAATAAATAGGGATGTTACAGTACTAGGGGAATGAGAGCAAATTTTTATTTTGTGTAGGAATTCCTAAGGAAGCACATTCAGGACATTCACATCAGGACTATCTTGAAAAAACAGCCCTACAGTATTTTTTTTGTAAACATCCTTAATTCAACTGTTGATCTGGCAACCCTACCCCCACTGTTTCTTGAAGCAAAAGCTCAAGAGTCTACATAAAGCTTTGAAACTCAGGGGAAGGGGGGGAGGGCTAATTGAAGGCAAAAGGAGCATATTCAGGTGTGTTTCCTGTCTCATCCTTTGAAGTGGTATCTCTAAGGTCATTAAGTTCACACAGAAGCTACAATAAACTTTGCATTTTTCAGATTTTTATCCCCTATAGTAATGCAGTCTCCGTAAACATTTCCTGCTGGGTAACCAAATCTCTTTACCCCACCCTAAACAGCAAGGCTTCAAACAGGAGCATTTTACAATTTATCAATGGTAAATCACCAGAAGAGTGCTATTTACTAATGGCTAAATAATTGCCCCCCACCCCCCACATGAAACAAATTGTCTGACATATTTCGCATCAAGTTTACCACACCTCCCACAATTTCAAATGGATAAAGACGACACATTAATGGAAGTATTATTGCTGTGGAGCTCGGTTTTACATTCAGACACACCAACAAATGGAGCTTCTAGAAAATAGGGATATTATTATTTATAAAGTGCCAATAGTTGGGTCTGTGTAAAGTACAAATCGCTCAAGAATTGATTCCTGAACATTTACCAAACCATGACAGACAATAAATAAACATAAAGCATCACTTCATTTTGCCAAGTTATGCAAGCAAATTTATTTCCAGGAATATGACTCACTTCCTGTATCTAGTCAGTCTCTTTCCTCTCATTCACTTTCTTTAGATTAGAGGACATCACTGATCATTTCTAGCTAGTATGTGTGAGTGTGCAGTACAGATACACTTGTTCTCCTCTTGCCTGCAATGATTTTAGACATGTGTGGACATTGTTGCGAATTTCCATTCTGGAGTGTTGGTTATTTTCATGATTACAGGTTAATGGACAAGCTGCTGTAACTATAAGGCATGCTTTTGCTTAGTCATACATTTCACAGCCCTGCACAGCTTGTCGCTGGTTTCATCAGAGGAGTGAGACAAAGGGAGGCAACTGCAGTGTCTGCAAACTATCCATTTTACATAATGCAAAAAAAGTCGGGATGTTGCCATGATGAATAAAACAATTTTTTTTTTTAAATTAACACCTGGAACCACAGCACTACAGTAGGATAGAAATATTATAGAGCATGCAATCTTAAAATAACATACCAAAGGTTAAAAATAAGTCTATTTTACCTTACAGTTCTTTTAACAACTATTACAGGTGCTAGGTCATCATTTTGGTTTTCAAAGGGAAACTATAGAGCCAGAAAAACAAACTCATTTTCTTGGCACTATAGCTTCCCCTTTGTAAAGAGGGTGCAGAAGGGGTTAAACCCCCTTCTGTCACTTACCTGTGTCCAGCAACGATGTCTCTCGGCGCTGGCTCAGCTCCGTTCACTGCAATGATCTAAAGTGGTCTGATGGCCTACAGTGTCCCTTTAATTGTATGTAATTATGCAGGGTTATACAACTTTTGGCACCCCATATGTTGTGGACTACATCTCCCATAATAAAACCACTAAAGCTGGCATAACTAGGTGAGACCCAAAGAGACTACGATTTTACTACTCTAGGGCCTAAAGACACCAGTAAGCACAATCAGAAAAATTTAGATATAATTCACTATTGTTCTTGCCATGAACTACGATGTATACGCCTTAAATAGGTTGAATTGTAATAGCCTAAAACATCACATCCAAAAGTCTTGTTTCCTATCTAAAACTGATGCTGCTGTAACCCTGTTTGTTTTTATGTTTTGGGTACAAGTTAAAATCCAAAAAAATTGTAAAACATTTTAAAAATATCCTATATCACCTGCTATATAAACAGGCTTCAATTTGTTGTTTTGTGTAGTACTTATTTGAGGGTCCCCCCCCCTCCCTTATTTTGGTATTTATAAAGCGCAAGCTAATTCCGCAGCACTTTACAATGTTATGAAAGGTGGAAATTTAGCAATTAATAAGACAATTGTAAAATGTTACAGTAGAAGAGGACATTGGTCAAACAAGCTCACAGTCTAGAGGAGTGGAGTATAAAGACACAATTGGAAGGGCATCAAGGGGGATATATAACGGCTTTACCAATATATTGAACAGAATATGTTGGCGTTATATAAATGGCGATAATAATTTGCAAATGTACTAAACACCAGATGATGCCAAATGAAATGGGCTTAGTTGAAATTTGGTTATGTTAACCAAATCTTGTCCACGCATGCAAGATTTGGTGTTTATTGAATAATCCATATTCCAAGGGTGTGTGGGTGTGTATGTATATATCAATCACACACTTCCATGTATCAAATCACAAACATGAAATCAATGTTTTGGTCCTCAGCAGGTACTTTGTCAATATTCCTTTGAGGGCAGTCCTACTCTGGACTAATGTAACACCACACATACCAAAATACCAGATTGCTATTGTGAATACATAAAGAAAGTAAACATACTGCAGAACCAGATTTGAAGGAGTTAACTAAGAAAGGATGGGAGAACAACAGCTGTAATTAGAGACTTTAATGGGTTTTGAGTTTCAACCTCTCCACCTCCCCCTTTTAAAGGAAGCACATCCTGAGCACACACAACCTCTTCCTGCCATCTGATCAAGACACTACTAATTAAAGAGTGAATGACTTATACTGGGAAACCAAAAGCAGCCCACCCACCCACCCCTCCTCTTTGAATAAAAGATACAAAAGAAGGATTGAGAAGAGGGTAAAATTGTAACAAGCAGGTGTGCTAGGATACCGAAATTCTTAACCCCTTTAGTGCTAAATGATATGTAATACACTGCACATGATATGGATTATATACATATACCTGTATACACAAACTATGTCTGAGACATGTTCACATTATATAGGAGCACATGACCCTTTTGTTTTTTATAGTAACCACCATTTAACGGCCATAGGTTTTTACAGTTATGGCAACATGTTATATTTGCATGCAGTCATAATGAAAAGGGATGCTAAAAAAGATTGTAAATAAATAAAATAAAAAAAATGTAGGCACTATTTAATCTCACTGATTATTGTGCCCAAGGTCCACTGGCACTGCCCATGCATTCAGAGATAAACCATTTTTGAGCACTAAATAAAGGAAACCTGGCAAATTGCAGACCAGGTGTGGCTAAGGCACAAATAACACAGACCATACCTTTAAAGGGACACCCCAGACCCCTAAAGCACTTCAGCTTCTCTAAAATCTCTGTGTACAGAGTGTGTCCTCTTTTTCCATTTTGCAAAAAGTGCAGATTTCAATAGAAATTGATTTTTATAAATTATATTGGTTATACCAGTTTGGTTTTCAAACAGACATGTCCTGTTACTTCTTGGTTGTTTAGTTAAGTGGAGCTAGATCAAAAAGCTGCAATTGCCCAGAGCACCTGCCTTGCTCATTGAGCTGTATTGTGAACTCTGTGATTGGACAGCCACTGGGCGGCGTTAGAAGGGTTGGGCATCCCTTTAAGTACACCAAGCAGGACTCACTTCGGAGAAAAAACAATTCTAGTCTTAACAGCAATGGGTGCTTTAATAGGCTGAAAGCGGTCAGCTTAGACTGCTGCTTAAGTTAATGCTTCCTCAGCAGCACAAAGTGAATATGGGTTGCTGGTGATTGTTTATCATTAAAATGTTAAAGGGATATTCTACCCACCAAAACAACCTTTTGGTGGTTTCGGGTCGGCGTCGCTGCTCCCAGTAATTACGTCAGCCGGTGGGCAAGACTGATCCCGCTCGCTGGCTGAGGAAACCTAATGCGCATGCGCGGCAATGCCGCGCATGCGCATTAGGTCTCCCCATAGGAAAGCATTGAAAATAATTTTCAATGCTTTCCTATGGGGAATTGAGCGACGCTGGAGGTCCTCACACAGCGTGAGGGCCTCCAGCGACGCTCTAGCAAAGAAAATCTTTGCTATGAAGCAGGAAGTGGCCTCTAGAGGTGGAGTTAACCCTGCAAGGTAATTATTGCAGTTTATAAAAAAACTGCAATAATTACACTTGTAGGGTTAAGGGTAGTGGGAGTTGGCACCCAGAGCACTCCAATGGGCAGAAGTGGGCTGGGTGCCTGGAGTGTCCCTTTAAATCGCGTTTGTGTCTGTTTAAGCAGGCCTAGTCACGCCTCCCCTTTCAGTGGCTCATATAGTAAACACAAAAAAATGGTTTCATTTTCAAACAGCACAGTGTGTTCATTGCAGATTTTTTTTTTTTTTTATCTCCAGCTCTGTTAATCAAACTTTAATCACACACTAAACACTTAAGTTACGTTTCTACCTAGATGTGAAGCTTTTTCTGATTAAAACTGATCTTTCTTGTTATTAATGGTCAGTGGATTGTAAAATACCCCTACAAATAATTTACTGTCCTTTTTATCATTCATAAGGCGTGCATGCACACATACACAGATATCATATATAAAATCATGCTGGCACACACATTTTTTTTTTTTTTTTTTGCCAAATAGTAGCGTGAAAAGAATGAAACAGAAATTAAAAGAATTTTTCTTTAATATTTCAAGCTCAGAGTTACATTTTTTTTTTCTTCTTTAAATATTTTGACGTTTAAATACAATCTGCATAATGTTATAAAATGTAAACTTTCAGGGTGTTTTTTTTTTTTCTTTTTTTACATTATACTATTTTATAATCACAAGGCTTTAATACCTGAAGGATCTGAGAGGAACAAGGGAAAAATAAAATAAGAAAAAGAAAACCTGTGAAATAAGTTTTCAGCGATGTGAGTGATGATACTCACAGAGTAATGAGGTAGAGATATGACATACCTGAGTTTAACCCTATTACACTCAAAGAGCTCGCACACATTGGGGTTACAAGGTATAACGGGCCTTCAGGGTGCACAGAGGGTTTATATGATTTACCTGCAATTTATTGGTTTTTTTTTCTTCACCACTAAAAATTCCATATCCCTGGTGTACATAGAATAAAATTAATCTTCCACACACCAGCCCCACCCCCCCTTCCATTAAACCGGGCATTCAATTAACAAGGCTACAAGACTGAAAAATGATAATGACTAAAAATGAGAAAAAAAATAGCAACAAAAAAACAAAACACAAAAATTGAGAAATATCACAAAAATATAATTATATTACACAACAATGCTAAAATAAATCTGAGCAGCCCTCTCCAAGCCCCCATATATGTCAGGAAGAAACATGTTACAATCAGCAGGGCAATTTTGGGTGTCCTACTTGTCCCAGGTTACAAAAAAAATTAAAATCAGCAACTGCATGTTAACTCAGCAGCTCCTAAGGTTTTAAGGAAGGCATTTAGTGCAGCTGATACAGGCAAGACAATTTGTTTGATAAGTGAAGGCTGAACTGAAGATCCTGAGGCTTTGGTTATGTGGTAGGAGGACAGTGCAGCGCAAACACAAGAACTAGATGAATACAGCTTGAAGAAACCAGTCGGGAGTTAGAAGAACTGAACAATTAATGTTACTGCTAGCATAAAATGTTTAAAACGATGTAGTTCTGGACAGCATGTTAATTAAAATATCTCACAGGGCAGTGTACCTAACTTCAGAGCAATGTCTACATTGCTGAGCCATCAGATTGCACAGCCACCCAAGACGGAGTTTAAGAAAATAAGGGTAAAATTTAATTGAAACTGTATGAAAAACATTTGAAATAAGAATTCAAATACAAGTATATTCCGTACTTACAGAACTAAACCATTGAAATAGCAAATGCTGCTTTCAAACAGGCTGGATGAAAATATTTTCCACTGTACAGAGCACTGTGATTTTCTGCTACAAAGCAGGGCTCAGTAAGTTGTCAAGAAAAACTACTCCCCGCAGCCGAAAAAAAGTACATACAATTTTAAATACATTTGGTTCAATCGAGATATGCTACCTTTGCATATACCTTAAATGTGACTGAACTCTCTATTACATAAGCCCTAACCAGTTTGACTCTCTCTCCTCAAACATTTCATAGCCGTTATGCAATAGAACTGAACATTTCGGCAGTCTTTACAATACACTCTCCTAAAAAGCATTAAAATGCACAAATAATGGCAAAAGGAAAAATCATTAAGCAAAGCAGTCAATACAAACCCTTTCCCTCTATATGAGAGACACAGAGCCAGAAAAAACATTATTCCCCTGAGTTAAAATCCAGCCCCGCCCTAATTCACACAGAGCAAAATTATGAATATACACACACTATATATATTTATATATATATTATAGAGAATATTTTTTTTTTTTTAATTATTTCTATCTACCCCAAATCCCAGTTTTGTGAAAAGCAGCGAGAAGTTGAGAGAAGACTAGGGGGAGAAACAGGAAAATCAAACCCTGAGTCTTACTGAATCACCTGCCCAGCATTCACCCCTTAATATACAACTATAGGTGAAGTGATTGCTGTCAAGACTTTTCTGATCATTCACCGTGGGGTTAAACCCCTAAATAAGGCCTCTCTGACTTCTTATTAGATTTATTCACATTTTTGGCATTTTGCTGCCCATTTGTGTTAATGTTGTCAGGGTGCTTAGGAAGAGGAAAGGGAGAACTGATTTGATAAATGTTCATGTTAAAAAGGCTCCATGAAGTAAACCAGTCAGAGATGGTTTGAAACAAACTGTAACCTGCAATGGCCAAGTGCCTAACATGCCTGCAGCTTGCACAGTTAGCTGTTGGATCCTACGTAGAGAAGCCTCTATACCCCAGGTGTCCAGACCCAGAGCAGGCAGCAGAAGAAGACAGAGGACTAAACCCTGCAGAGTTCTATAAGATTATACATCTACCATTCTGATGCAAACATAACTAACTCTGCAGAATTAAATGCGTTCATGGCCAGATCTGTGACCACTGAACAATAGTATAACTTCTAGAGCTATTTACAGCCCAACATCAGCATAGCAGCAGAGGGATAAACTGAAAAAATTAAAAAATATATATATATCATATGGATCGTGAATATCCTACCAAATTGAATATGTGAAAAATCAACATAGTATATGACTGGCTCCGATAAAAGACCCAATTTTTATAGGTAACAGATTAAACCCGTATAATGTTTAAAGATGTATGAGGTTCATCGGAATTGTGGAGGCTAGAGAGGTTCTGATGCTGTTGGAACACCAAACAACCACAGGAATAAAACAAAACATTCAGTATTCTACATTGCCGACTCCCATGAATTACATTCCAGAATTTGTGGGGGTGTTGATTATTAGAACCACACACCCAACGGGGTAACACAGGCAACATCCCACCTTGATGATATGCTGTGCCCCATACAAGTCCAGCCCAAGGGATACAGCAATATTCTCAGATATTTATATATATAGATTTTTTTTTCTTCTTTTTTCTAAGTTTGCCTTTTTTTCCCTCCATTGTCCTTTAAGAATAAGAGGCATTTACAAAATAAAAAGACCCCTCTTAAAGTTCAACTGGTACTTCTTTCCTCCTTTTTCTACATAGATACTAAAACACAAAAACAAAAAATATGTGGGGGTGGGTTTTTCCGGAGCGCAGAGTGGGGTAGAGGAGGTTGGCATTTTGTTTGGTATTTGGAGGTACTGAATATATTATAAAATATATTATACAGATATATTTACAGTGCAATAAGTGAGGTATATGGGTTTTCATGAAGGGTATAGGATCATTTTTCCAGACCCTGTACTGGCTCAGCCTGGCCCCCTCAAGCCCCAACCCTGTGTTCCGGGAACTCCCAAAGATGAGGAGTAATAAACCTGAGTGAAACACAGAACAATTCCATAAATTTTTGGCGTCAGCTGTGTGTGAATATGGCAGCTCTGTGTCAAGGTGAGGAGCTGTTTGAAGTGGGAGCTGGATGTGCAGAGGGCAAAGCTTGTGATGAATTGCCAGCTCCTCCCAAGGTCGCAGTCCGGTTGGTGCTCCCTTTGCTCACTGCAGATGTTGAGGTAGAGGGTTGAGCGAAAAGCACTCCTGAGACAGATATGGAAATAGGGTTAGAGCATGAGAAAATACATCAACATAAAACTGTCAAAAACAAATTGCAATAAAATGCACACAAAATAACACCACTCAATCTTCTTTAAAAGCAAAAGACAATTTCTGTATAGTAAATAAAACAGAATCAATGCAAATGTGGGTAAGCGTATTAAGGTGTGTATGCATATTTCAAGACATTTTCTTTACTAGACGTTGAAGTTGTGTTGGGAACACCATCCCCTCCTGTACACAGTGGCGGTTCCCCTCCCCCCCTACCTAAGACAGGGCTGGCACTGTCCAAGTGCCAGCCCTGCAATGTGCCTTCACGGACCACAGATATCCCTCCCTGGTCCGCAAGCACTGTGCTAGCAGCTGGCAAGGAGGACCCTGGAGCACAGCCTGCAGCTCCTCTGGGTCCTACTCTCGCGAGCACGGAGCGTTGCCGTGGTTACCACAGCAACGCTCCAGATCTCGCAAGAATGAACTCTAGTCCTGGAGCTACGGGCTAGAGTTCACGCTCACCACTAGAGCCACCAGGGATTCCCCATGGACCACCAGGGATGGAGAAATGTCCCCCTCCTCCCTCAGTAAAGGTAAGAAGGGAGGGGGAACATTATTATATATATATATATATATATATATATATATATATATATATATATATATATATATATATATATATATATATATATAAAAGCCCCCCTACCCTCCTCACCACACATTCATACACATTCACACACTGCCCCCCCCACACACGCTATACACATTCAGACACTGCCCCCCCACACATAAACCATACACATTCACAGACAGCCCCCACACACACATTCACACACTGCCCCATCATACACACACTGCCCTCACACACTTCCCAAACATGCACACATTGCTCCGCCCACACACATACACTGCTCTCCCATGCACATTGCCCCCACACACCCATTGCCCCCCACGCCCTACACACACACACACTGAACCTTTCACACATTGCACCACACACACACACACACACACACACCTCTGCTCCTATGCCCTACAGCCCCATATCCCATTCTTAAACGGTTTGACTACTTACTCTGGGAGAAGGTCCCAGCACTCCTGGCACAATAACCACTACACAGAGCTGTAGTGGTTATTGTGCATGGATTATTTATTTAAATAATCTACAAGTGCCCCTCCAGAGATCAGGCTCTGGATCCGCCACTACCTGTACATGAAGGAATTCATCAACTCATTTGAAAATGAAATTCATATTCCACGGTCAAGATGAGTTGTATGTACCTCATACTCATCCAACATGGAAAATTTCACTGTACTGCTGGCTTATTCCCAAAATACCTTGATGCATAGATATACAAGCAGGTTTAAAAAAGAGAATATACATACAAATGAACCATTTAGGTCTGCCAACTGAACAGTGATTTTGGTTTAAGTTATGGAATATACAAACATGTTGTCATGTCAGTTTACTTCTGCCCCTTAAACTAGATAGAATACATGGTATAATGTTTGGAAAGGTATTTGCACAGCCTCCCATTGCCTTTAGAAAAGGGGAGTTATTGCTGATGGTCCACTGGATGTGGTGAGAGCCTGTGGAATGTGCCAGCTGGCAGAAGCAGATGACCAAGAGATAAATTATTGCACAACTGCGTTTTGCCTGAATGAGAGCACTGGCTGGGTAGCCCGATTCAGCGGTTTGAAACTTACAAAAGAGCTGTATTGTGAGGTAGGGCTATTCGTGATTGGCAACTGTCAAATATGCAGAGAGCATGATTGGTCAATGTAGTAAATGGACGCAGGGCTGGTTAGGAGATCTTTTGATCTCTCAACTAACTTGTGTGACTGAGGACAGTCCCACTTCAACTGCCAGTCCAGGTAAATGTTTAGGTCCCTTATGGTAACCATGGCCGTGCACACAATTCCACCACTAAGGGCTTCAAGGCCGAATCATGGCTTTGATGGCCTAGTGGGAAATCTGGCCAGTTATACGCTGCTTAATATGTTATATTAATTGAATAAATTAGCTTTTGTGATTAACATTTTCTTAACAGTTAAGCTGGGAGGTAAGCCATACTGTACATTTTTTTCTGAAAACTTTGCGCATGGATATTCAGTTGTGCAATAATTTTAATATTAACATACACAGGATATGTTTGATTTCCCAGCCCCCTCTACCTCTCCATTCAATAAATATGCATTTTAATAAAAATACATTGGGTACGGAGTAGTATTTGAAAATCAATGTGATACATTGGGTACAAATAAAGAGAGCAGAGGTAAAAAGCCAATGCATGTGAGTGAAAGGTAAAGAATAAATGGACTACTCACCTGTATACACAATACCATTAAGCTCTACGGACATGCTAATACTGTTAGTGCCATTGGTAGTGAGGTTCACAGCAGAATCTTGTCTTCCCTCAGCTTAAAAAGAATATGAAAATATGAATGAATGTATAGGCACCTTAAAGGACAAAATTAATATACAATCATAATAAACCAACATCATCCATAAGAGTAGAATGCAACCCTTCCAAAAGGTTCCATACCACATAACTGTAGGACTAGTTAGATGAGAAGTACACAAAACTGATGCAATGTTGTTTCTATTTCTCCCATTTGAAAAGGGTCCCCTATTCTATCCTTTATTGCTTAATGCTCTTTTACTTTATAGATAAATAAATCCTTGTCCCATCAGGAGAACCAGGTCCCAATAGATACCTCGTGGTCCCCCCTCTGTTAGCTGGGGCAACAGTTACTGATTTGACCACTGCATAAAACTCTTTAAATTCATCACAGTAAGCGGAGCAGATTGCGCTCAGCTGTGGTGATTCTGGGCTGGCAGGTGCTCAAAGGAGGTCTGAACATAGTATGGCTTCATGCTAATTGGGATTGTTGCTGGGCTTTGCCAAGTGCCCAGTACTGATCACAAAGTAATTGGCATGCAGCTCTCTATGGTTTATATACATACCGTTCTTTATTGTTTTATCTAGGAAACTCACCAGCTGATATTCGTACAGATACTGGCATACGTTTCTTTAGGATTAAGAGAAAATGGGTTTCACAAAAGCCTCACATCAACATGCACAATATGATGTGTCAGCTGGAGCTGTTAAGCTATTTCAAGCCAACTTTTCATACACCCCCAAGGAAAACATGTAAAAGGAAAAACATGCATGTTTTCTTTATATTTATTTTGTAGATCTATAAACAGAACCACCATATGTCTAGCTCAGCTCATAATCTAGATAACTCAGATTTGTAGGGGAAAATTCCATTTCATTTTCTTATTTCTGTGGAAACTACCATGTTATCATCCTATTTCTGATTGTTCTCGAACATTTTGGGATTAAGGGAATTAATACTTTTCTCTCCCTTGCCTTCCAGTCAAAAGCTGGGACAAGACACACACACAAATACTGCTGTAAAGTCTTACCTTGGGTGATGCGGATATTCATAGGAAGTTGAGCAGTCATTGCCAGAAGGTTGTGCTGGATGGCTCGCTGCATTAGTCGCTGCTGATCTTCTGTTCCCAAAGCCATTTTCTTCTCGGGGGGTTCCCCAGATTCCAGCTTCTCTCTGAGTTGCTCTAGTGCTGCAGCCTGTGCAGCCACCTGTGCTGCAACCATGGAGTGTCCAGCTAAGCCAACGGGTAGTCGTGGTGGTCCGGCTAGAGACATTGGGGAGTCTTCCTCTGAAAGATATTATGGAGAGAGAATTAGTTTTTTCACCCCCATTTTTAAGACACTTGTGTACACATACATACACCCTATTTAGAGGAGCATATGTGCACAGTTTTGTCTGGATATTCATGCCATTTTAAACCCAAATTACTATAAGACAATTGATTACAGAAATACAGTGTTTGTTCTGTATGCAAATTAACCCCCTTAAATGCATGATGAACCATCCTTGGGCCTTAAAGCCCCATGCTGCATAATGACATGGATCAACGTGCAGTTCTTTAGGGGTTAATTAGAAAACAAAACAGGATAAAAAAAAAAAAAAAAAAAAAGTCTGCTTAAAGCGCTGGTGCAATGCTTGTTTGGGTATCATTCCAACAGTGGGTGACTTGACCACTGGATACAGAGGCAACATCTAGCCCTGTTTTGCTTTTTGTTCTTTTCTTTGTTTAACTTTATGTTAAACCTTTCATACAAAATCTTAAAACTGAATATATATATATTTCACAAGTTTTCCAAATTTGAAAACGAGACATGCGTGTCCGATGCCATAATTCATATTTTGTATCCTATGTGTTTCCAAATTTCCAAAG